CAGAAGAATCAGCCCATTCAGTAAATTCATACTGTGGGAATGCTGACTTTAATGGACTAGTTGGAGGAAAGACGTCAAAGAATAAAAAGCTGCATATAATTTATTGTACCAATTTCAAAATGTACCATATTAAGGCAACATAAAAGTTGCTCATTTTTATGTCTTTCCATTAAAGGTTCATGCACGCTATTCTTGAACCAGAGACTCGTTAAAAACTCCAGGGAAGGAACAAAGCGAAACAGTAAATATTAAGCACATGATTTTCAGCAAGTTCTGTGTTAGTTAACTCTGTTTTAAGTTTTCCATCAGGAAAGAATTGTAACTAATACCACCGCTGAGGAGGAGGTTGCATTCTTGGTAGCAACTCGTAGGAGAGCCAGACAAACACAAAGGTCTGTTTAAACCAAGAGCTAAGGCTCCAAAGTAAACCTCACAGCTCTTGCTCGTAACAATAACTAAAAAAAGGCATCCAGAAAAGCTGTATTTTATTTTTCCAATACCCAAACAGATTGATAAGTCAGCCACTTGAAAAGTAGGAAGTGGCAGATTTAAGAGGTTTTATATGATTTTAATTCAGCTCCCATGAGTCCATTCCGTGCAAGAAATAAGGATCCGTGAAGAAAAAATATGAACATGCAGGAATGTGAATTTAGACCACCGAGTACTTCCTAATGGCTGAAACCAGAAATTTCTCAGCAGACACTTCTGTAGCCCAAGGGGATTTTACCTGCTTAACAGAAGAGGAGATCACAATATACCTTTTTACAGTGAAAAGCATGAGGCAAACTAAAACTAAATTGCTGGTAGCTTTTTCTTTTACTATCACTTATGCATATATCACTTATCTCCTACCACTCCTACATTGTATAGGGTCCCAGTGGCTTTACCTCCCAAATATCTGAGACTGGCTCTGGCTGTTACCACCGCTCACGCCACAGGAGTCACAGGCAGTGAGCAGGGATTCACCGTCAGCTCATTTCTGATTGCTGATGGCTGATTCATAATCAGCGTTTGTGACCGCACAGAGCAGAATTACTCCCACTTAATATTCCCCTTAATACTTGCTTAACTATTAAGAAAATCAGCGTTACGAGAGGAAGAACAAGCAGCCCAGAAAAGGAGAATATTACACTCCCAGCAGCCAGCTCTGCTTTGACCACATGCTTTCACGTGCATTTTCGGATGGCACAGCAGGTTTAAGCAATCTCACCTTTCAGCCCAACAGTCTACTATGCCCCCAAAAAAATCAATCCTTCGTTGTGCCAGAATTGTTTTGTGGTGCTACACTATGAATCACTCTAGGGAATTAAGTTGGCTGAAAAAATAAACACTTCTTTTTGCTGTGTTGTTTTTCAGACACATTAGTTCCTGATTAAACCCACAGCAGACCCGAATAAACACTGGAAGGGACAGTGAGAGGGAAAAGTATCTGGCATCAGTAATTGTTGACAAAGATGCAACAACTTCAGAGTCAGTAGCATTGGTATTTGGCAAACTGTACTCCCCCCTGCAAAGTACCTCGTGTTCTTCACAGAAACAGATTAAAAAGTTAACTGAAAAAATAAACCCAGTAAAGAAGACATGGCTGAGTAAGTGAGCAATGCTCAAGAACTACACAGGGAACCAGAGAGAGAGAGGCTAACATACACCATCAGGTAGGGGTGGGGAGAGAAAGCAAAAGAGAGAGAACCAGGAAGATGAGAAACGGATGAATAGAGGAAGAGATGAACCAAACTGAAAGGGGAAGGGGAGAAAAGCAAAACAATGACAAAGAAATTAAAGAATGCAAAGTGCCGAGAAAAGCAAAGCATATGAAGGCAGACAGTACCATTAAAAGATCAGGTAGGGTATCACACCTTCGTCTTTCTCAGAGTAGAAAGCCAGTAATTTACCAACTCTCAAGCCAAGGCTCTGGGCTTCTGATTTTGGGGATTTAAACACTATTGTTCCTCAGAAGATCCAGCTCAGTTTGGCAATCTTGAGAGATCTTGCTTTGGCAGCTGTGATCAGCCGTACCTGGACTAATTTGGAACAGCTTCTCTAAAGCAAAGCACTACTCACATATTCCTCACTAGATAGAACGCATAAACAGAAAAGCATTAAAAACCCCACAAACTTTCCTTATGCACACGGATTCAAAATTTCCCTTAAATGTATCACAAGTACCCTTTGCCTTCCTTGCAGACACCAGTTCCTTCCTGCGGGTGAGGTTTCATGACAACAAGGTGAATCTGTTGGGCATCTGTCGTTGAAAGGAGGCACTCTACCCCAGCCCCACCACCTCCCACACATTGCTGGGTTTTGGTTGGGTTTTTTATTGTTTGTTTGCTTTTCCTACTACCTTCTCTCTTCATGTTTTTCTCCTTTCCCTATAGTACTGCCATATGTAGAACAGAAGTACATCCAAAGCAGTGTCCAGAGAATACAACCCTCTTCTCTCTAGGGATCATATCAGTCCCATCTTTGCAAAAATTTGAGGAAGTAGGATAGATTTTACACTAGAGTTATCAGTTACCTCCACAAACACACCACACAGCATTTATGTGGCTCCCACTAACACTTGCAAACAATCACCTACTATAAACTCACCAATTTTGCAACATACACTTGGAAAAAGTGTCATTTGAGAAGACAACTTGTAGTTTTGTCCTGTTTGACAGGTGAAAACTGGCTCCTTTCCATACCAGTCAAAAACTAGAATCTTGCTCCTGTCAAAAGTATGACCTACGCTCAAGCCTCATTAAAACAAAACAGGAGTTAACTTGGTATTTCGCAAGCTTTCAATCTCAGAAATGAACATTGACCTCTATTGTGCTGTTCCTGCAGGCAAGGTTATCTGATTTAGACAATGGCTGAGGGTGCTGTGCAGCCAACATCGTCTGACATCATCTGTCAAACGGTTCTCTCAGGTAGATGCAACTTAATGGGAAATTTCTGTTTCCTTCCAATTACTAAGCTGCACAAAAGATGCCTCTTAAAATATTTCTCTTCCAGCTGCCAGGCAAGAGCACCATCTGGTGTTCAGCTAATTAAACTTTCAACCTGCTTTTGGATCAGGTTTTTTGTTTGCTTCATTTTTTAATTGTGTTTCTTGTTTGGTTTTTTTTTGTTTGTTTGTTTGGGTATTCGTTGGTTTTTTTAAGCAAACTTACTCTGCACTGGATCTGACACCATGAAATAGGCACCAAAAAGCTGCAAAGCAAGCTATGAGAAACTCCTTTACTTTGGTGGGGGAGGGAGGAGCAGTAGAACAACTGAAAGAGATTACTGGGGTTTTATAAAGAACTATTTCCCCCTAAAAAAAAAAAAAAAAACCAAAAACAAACCCCAATGCAGTATTATATGACTTCTTAGAATATTGTCCATCTTGTTAGTCAGGGGTGAGCTGTAAACAATTCTTGCATCTTCAAGGATCTTGGAGAAAAAAAGACTGCTCCCTCACCCACCACCAATTACGTACCACCCTTCACAAGCTTCACAACCCTTCACAGCACTCTCTTCTTACTGCCCTCTGGCTATACTCTCCATGCAGAAGACAAAACCCTTCTTCCTCCTCACTCTTTACAAAAATAACACCTAATAGATGCCTCCCAGTTGTTTACCTTAATCATTTTCCCTCCCAGTTGTCTGAACTTACACTTACTCACAGGCACTCTAGTATGAGACACAGATTATTTACCAGATCTGCTCCTAACTGTTATGAAAATAAACGTGTCTGCCTTTCAGAAGCTACTGTGCACAAGCACAGCACAGGGGCAAGTCATGTAACATGTAAACTCTCACTAGAAACTGTACTCCATTCTTCATTCAATTACTAATTTATATTCGAGGTTTGAGAGCTCAGGGTTGTCATAAATCCACGCTAGTTTTTCACCTTCTGCAAAAAAAAAAAAAAAAAACCCCCACCACCTTTTCCTACCATTAGGTTTGACAGGAGCTCTGTTTTAACAAAAAAAACTAAATTGAAAGATGGCAATAGAATTGGCCAGAACAGCTCTCAAACACATTTCTAATTTATTAAAGATTAAAAGTGTTCCAAATTTTAGCGGTAGCGCATTGTGGCCTATTTAAACGAGTTACACAAGTGTCTAGGTGCAGTCTGTTATGACCCTTTATGAAAAAGCCAGGTACTTTGCAAGGGAATACTGCTAACAATAAAGGGGGTAAATAAGACATTCACCTGACAGAAACGTAGCAGGTCACACTGTAAGCTGTAAAAACAGTTTAAGTAATACTTAAAAGGTATTAAGTAATACAAGACTGTTCTTGTAAGACTGATAATCAATACACAGGCCAATGAACTTAGCAATGGACTTGGGTTAACAGAAGTCACAAGGACTTAACTTTCTGTATTTCTGGAGATGTACAATGGATCCTCTCAAAAATATTAATTCTGTTTATATCTACCCCCTTGCTAGAGTGGAAAGACATGCAAAACTTGAATTTTAGAAACTTAGAAAATGTTTTTAGGGAGACAACATGCCAAGCTTCCCCTCCCCCCTTTTACATTTTAAAAAGAAGCCATACAGACTTAGAAACTCAACAGCTAACCTACAATAAAGTTATAGAAGATGTACAATTCACTGTCAGTTGAGAGGAAACATGCGTTGGAGTTTCAGCAACTCCAGAAACACCAGAGGCCTTCTCAAAGAAAAAAAAAAAAAAGGCACCCCAAAACAACAACCAAAAAAAACCAACCAAAAGAAAAAAAATAGAAAAGCTCATCTGCAACACTACAGACTCCACTTCTGATCTTTCCCAGCTATCAGGAGAATGAATAGCAATTACAGCTATTATGGAGAAGAAAGGAACCCACAGGAATGGAAGAGGTGGTGAAAAGAGCTTCCAAAATTAGAAACAACAGAACCCATATTATGTAGGCATTTATTCCTTTGCTACCTAAACCAGGAATAATTAACAAAACCGCTCATTTGGTTTCAGACTTGTCACTTCTATAAATATATTGTCAAGGTTGAGTTTTTCAGCAAGCACCATCTTACCTGTTTGTTGGAGTGGTAAAGCTAAAAGACAGCAGCTGATTCCAAAACGGGTCATTCTCAGAGATGGGCTCTGCTCCTGATAATTTTTTTAAGTACTCATTTTCTGGAAGCTCGCTGATGCTGCTGCTATTTGCTCCCATCTTCTTTATTTGGCAAATCCCGTTCTAATTTTTCATGTCTTCAAGAGGAAAAAAAAAAAAGAAGAGAGAAACATTTAGTGTCATTCGAATAAGGAATATACAGATCCTAAATTAGCTATCAGTAAAGCTTTAGTTCACTACCTTGAACAATTACTGAAATGTAAAAATGGGAGCATAGGAAGGCATTAAAAAGATTTGCTTTCAACAAATTTAGGACAACAACGTCTCCATCCAAGGAAGTTAAAAGTTACCATGCTGTACACTGCTGTCATCGTCTCACTTGGATTTTCATAAATTACACTCAGCAAGAAGACAGTGTCACAGTTTTATCAATATCAAGGCTGGTACCAGTGGGGAAAACCGCAGGGAATTCACAATTTAAACCAGGGGTGTTAAGTTGACAAGCTATTGAAAAACATGTTTTACAACTGAATATGCACAGATAGTTAGGCAAATGACCCCTATCATCAAGGAAGGGAGCCCACATGCAGCTAATCCCTGCATGCCATCGATGACCTCCACCCTGAAAGCTCCCTCCTCACCAGAGTGAGCACCGCTGCACAGATAACCTGCATCAAGTGAGGAAAAGCACCGCTCATCACCCATACACCTCCTGATCTTTCCAAAGATGCAGTTGGTTCCAGTCAATTACTTGAAGTGGGGGTAAGGGGGGGAAGCTAAAAAAAAATGAACAAATCAAACACAACTGCTTTTTGAAGCAACACTGGAGAAGTTGGTAGAGATGCACTCCCAAACCTCTTTTCATTACTAGCTGTGTTGTACTTTATCTGTGCAAAGAATGAGTTCTCAATTCTCCATGCTGCTTATTAGCACTTCTCACCTTCACAAACAATTTAATTAAAGAAAAAAAAAAAACCACCAAAATACCACAATGCTATTAACTATGCGCCAGGGATGCTCCTAAGCATCTTGTATCTTTCCAGGACATCACCTTCAATAGCCTTCCATCTTTTGAGAAGAAATAGCTGTGACTAATAGCTTTAAAAGTTTCTATTAAAAAAAAAAAAAAACAAAAAAAACCAAAAAAAAACACCCATCCCCATCAAGATAAAAGCTCTGTGCAATGTATTACTGTGTAACCTAAATATTCACTCCAGAGCTGGCATAAGATATAAGGACAGGGACGGCTATGTTAGAAAATGCAAGCTACTGCTCAGCAGCAACCCTTCTCTTCGTCTCGACAAAGATAGAGGATTCTTACAGACTCATCATCTTTGCAGAAGCAGTTACGTCCAAAGACCATTCTAGTAGTAGTTAATATTAATAAAGAACAGTATAAAAATGAGGAAAACTTACTAAAAAGATGAAGAGATGCAGTGAAAAGCTGTAATGTTTGCAGCCATCGTGGAGGCTATCTGAAGAATTTGTATTCGAGTTTTAGAGCGAATGCACAGTACCCGAATATTTCAGAAACAACAAAACGCCAGCACAGAGAGCAGAATATAGGATACTACTAGATAATAAAGAGGTCTTTAAAAGGTGAGATCATACAAAAATGAGGAAAACATTTATTATTTTCTAAATTTTGCCTGTAGGCTGGGAAAACACCACTCCACGCTCCTTCCCTCCATTCCAGTACTCTATCAACACTATTAGCTGCTCTAGAAGACAGAATACAGCAAGATGAAACTTCACACCCGCTCAGCGTATCTGCTCTTCTAACAACTCCACCGCTGTAACCCTGCCACCACGCACCCAGGGAGCTCTACTTTTATGAGGCAGTTTGGTTTCTACCACCTCCCTTTACATCTGACCAAAGGGGAGAGAGAGAGAATAACCTTACAACCTCATATATGACTCATTTAGCAAAAAGCTCTGAAGGCATCAACTATAGCATTTGCAGAAGCCGTTTTTGTCACGGGGACTACCTGCAGGAAGAGAAATTTAAAAGAGGCCTAGGAGTGAAAATGGAAGTTTGTGCCAGGGAATTCTGTGGAGAAGCATTAAAGGATTATAAAATGTAATTAGTTTAAGAGGATTTCCAGAACTTTGTTTGAATGTTTACTCAAAGAACAGAATGAATGCATCTTGAACACAGATTTTGCTGCTTCAAAGAAAAAAGCCCAAGATTCAGTGTACACTACCTTTGAAATAAAGCCAATGAATACTAAAGCTAGAGAATAAAGTAGAAGAGAAGCCAGTTTGCATAATATACAAGAACTCTAGATCATCATTTCAAGGCAGAAGAATCAAGGTTCAGCTTGTACCTGGACATCTCAGCTCTGCAGCCCCTGGTTTGCAAGTGCCCAACTACTGCAGAAGCCAAAACTCTTGGCCCTGGACCCCTATTTTGGCTCAAGTCCTTTCCCTGCATCTTTAAATGGCTTACAGGTCATATATGTGAACCTTTATTTCTTGGAGTACAGACAGTTCAAGTCCATGTCTGCCTCAAGTTCCCGTCCTCTGCTCGTGCTTTCCAGCTCACGTAAGGAGCAGCTCACTTGCTCCAAGACAAACACCCAAGGGAGAAGATAATCAAGAGGCAGCTGGAGCCCTGCCTTCAAATTCCTCCCCCTCAATCTCTAACTCAAGCTCCCCATGCCAGTTCTCTGACCATGCCCTAAATCCTCAGCCCATCCTCCTAAGATGAGTAACTCCGCTTTATTCTCTGTTTCACAAGCTATTCTCACAGCTTGCTCGAGCTCCCAAAGCCTCCCCATTTAACCCATTTCCCCAGCAATATGAGAGCAATGGGAACAAGTTGCAAGCTCCTTCTTGAAGAGTCTGTGTACTTTCCAGATTTCCTATAGTATCCCAGTAGATTAAATTCCATTAAAACAAATCCTCCAAAATAAACAGTGCTTTAAAAGCAAGTTTTAGCAAAATATTTATTGTTCTATTTTCACATTGCCCAAGAAGATGCCCACTTCTGTGGCCAAAGCCATACACTCGAGCAACAGGGCAAGTTGCTGGCTCGAATCCCTTGTGAGCTCTCCCTCTGCCCTAGCACCGCGCTGGCACCTTCCAAACTGCAGAGAACATTTTTTATCCCACAGCCCTTCCTCAAAGTGACAGAGAATCATAGAATCATAGAATGTTTTGGGTTGGAAGGGACCCCTAGAGGTCATCTAGTCCAACCCCCCTGCAGGAGCAGGGACACCACTAACTAGATCAGGTTGCTCACAGCCCCATCCAACCTGGCCTTGAACGCTTCCAGGGATGGGGCGTCCACTGCCTCTCTGGGCAACCTGTTCCAGTGTTTCACCACCCTCATTGTAAAGAATTTCTTCCTTAGATCCAGTCTAAACCTACCCTGGTTTAGTTTAAAACCATTACCCCTTGTCTTGTCACAGCTGGCCCTACTAAAAAGATTTTCCCCATCTAAAAAGATTTTCCCCATCAAATAAGGTACTAGCTGATTTTTTCCCCCCTCCAAGAGAAATAAACACCAAGCTATTGAGATCTGTCAAAAGGATCCAGTTGCTGGCTTGAGTTCTAAATACTTGTAGAGCTAGTTAGTAGATAGGTGGATTTTGCGAGCTTTGCCTCGTATGCATTTGTAAGCCAACAAATCTTAGAGCAATCACATAAACATGCAGATTTTTCTCTCTCTCAAATCCCAGGAGGTTTTTTCCCCTCTCCTAAGAACGTCATATTCACAATATTCCTCTAAAGTAGAAATCTCAGCAAGCTCTACCGATACTCATTGCAGATGACCATACTTTCATACAACAGGTGTAACAAAGCTAACTCCTTCCATCAGGAACTTCAGTTATCTCAAAACTTGCTCTGCGATGACTTCATGATACAGCCTGAGCACCTCCAGCTCCTACAACCTCAACAGCCATAGGCCCAGCTTTAAATAAGAAAGAAATTCCTGAGGAACTCCAGCCATCAAGTGACAGAGGAAACAAGTCTTTCCTTCAGAGCTCATGAATATCCTACAGGACAAATGTCTAAAAATAATTAAAAATAAAAAATATAAGCATTTCATTTCCTGGCATTTTAACAACAGTAACAGATTAATCCCAATGCTTTAACCTGAATGGTTACATGCTACTAAACAACAGACATGTTTCTTTTAGAAACAGCTGCCTTTAGCTGAAAAGATCACCCAAATAAAACATGTAACCACTTAAATTTGCAAATTGCTCTTGATTAAGAGGCACCACTGCTGTGCCTCTAACACCATATGCTGGTTAAGGCAGTAGAGGTTCAAGTCTTTACATGACATAAAAGGCTGGTCGGTATTTGGAACGCAATTACCACAGTATTTTTTAAATAGCATCTAATCCTCACTTACCTCTGATTTTCCCTAAACTTGACTTTCCTAACAGCCCCCGCTGCACAGAAAGGCTGCTCCTAGGGGACCCCAAAGCCACATCTGAACACAAGCTTAAGCAGATTCTGCTTCTTCACGTGCTGGAGTGGGATAGCCACAAGAAACACCAAATAATAGGAAACCCCCTTTCACTCCAGAAAAGTCAGTCCTAACCCCAGCAGTAAATTACCAATGAAATGTAAAACTTTTTTTCTTGAAATACACTAAATAAATGCATGGTTCGTTAAAGAAAAAGTTATCTTCTCTTGAATAGCAATTAATCTAATTATTTGCTCAAAAAAACCCAGACACAATGTATTAGCAAGTCATTAGTTTAATATGTTATTATAACCTCTACCAACAACAACTCTTCCTTTCTAAATAAAAAGCTGGGAACACCCCCAAAGAATCAGAGCCTGGTCTACAATTGTCATGCTCTATTAAACCCAACATCTGTTTAGTCCCAGAACTTGGCTTCACGATGTAGCAGCAGACACACTTCAGAGCAAACACAAGGGAGTTTGTTTTGCACACCAGGACTCATTCCAATCTCAAATAGCTAGGGGTAGATATAAATCCCAAGTTTACTGTCCCTTCTAAAAGATTTTAATATTAATTATTACCAATGTTTACAAGAATATCGTTGTTCCTCTTCAAATCAAAAGCAATTCAGCAACACATACATGCTGCAGCTGAGCTCCTGAGTATAACTCAAGGTACAATAGGTTCACTGTTGAACTTGGAAAAAAACTTGTCACGCTCTCTAAGCCTTCTATTTAAATAATTTTAGACATGTAATTATAGCTCCATTAAGTATTAAATCTCCTACTGGTTTCACAACTGAAGTGCCAATGCTGACATTTTGCTAATCCGTCCAGTAGAACCAGCTCCCCCTTCCGAAACTATCCTTGCCATGATTGCCTGGCTGAGCCTGCAGACAACTTGAATAATACAGATTATGTATACTCTTTTTTTTTTTTTTTTAATGAGTACTTTAAAGTGTAAGAATTTGAGACAGTCATGCAGATGATTTTACTATGCCATCTGAGATCTGGTCTCTAGGTTAACACAACCATATGAAAATAAATTAAGTGATGCTATTATACATTTGAAAACCTAACAAAATTTCATTTCTGTGTGTAACAGCACTTTGGTTACCTTTCTAGTTTGCTGCTTTATGAACTAAAACAAATGGACATTGTTTTCCTTTCAAGCAAAGCAGCCAATACCACTGTAAAGATGAGAATGTATGAGAGGTAATGCTGCTTCTTCAAGTATTAGCAAAGCTGCTCACTGAGGTTTTTGGCCAATTCCTATTTGCATCCAAGATTTGCAGGTTTCAGACCATCTTTCACCTATGAGACATTAAAACATCCCACGAAATCCTAACATAAAACCTCCTACACGGTTATGAAACTACTGCAATATATATATATAACTCTCCACACAACAGAAGACACAGAATATATATTAACTGTAGGTATTGTTCACCTCCAATAGTTGAATTTTACTGTCCACACAATATATTTGAATTCTGTCCACTCATTCATATTACAATAATATTTATACCTAAGGATCAAATGCTTTATGGACTAAGTATCATGCACAACACTTACCAACACAACTTACAAACAGATGTCACATCCACAGATAAAGAACAGCCTAAAAAACCCCCAAGTTACACCTGTAGACGTAGAGTTAGTGCTCTAAAGCAGCTGCACAGCCCTGAAGTCTGTTCACGGAAATATTTGTTTAATGTGTTTCATCCCGCTTTGCTAGAGCAGGGAAAGCTGCAGTAAACCAGAAGCCCTCCTTCTCTTGCCATCTTTAGATGATCCTCAACTTTCTGCTCCCAGCAAATCAGCTTTTGCAACCCACTAGCCTATTTCTGGCACAGTCTCAATGCTCTGTCCTAACTTATTACCAAACACGAGATGTTCCTATTCTCCACGCAACACCCAAAACATCTCTCGGCCCTCTGAAAGGGAAAATAGTCAAACCAAAGACAGGAGATCAAACAGTTCCCAGCTGATCTGCACTGCTTTAATCCTCACCCTGCTGCACCTTGGCTTCCCTAAGCCCGTACCACGTTTCATCACATCCCAAAGACTGCAAAACCTTCAGGACGTAAGAGAGGTTATTTCTGTCCGTCAGTAAACAACCACACAGCACTTCGGGACACGAAAGACATGTTCCAAAGAAAAATATACGCCTAAAGAAACAATGTCACCTGGTTCCCCAATGTATCTAAAAATCAGAATCTTTGTATTGATTAACTTGAATTGCTGCTGGAAAGACCTATGGCATCTATACGGAACAATTTTCCGAGAGGAAAATGATTTGGATACCATGCATACCCAAAGGTACTAGAAAAGGACCAATAGAACCTAACTGTAGAAATGAATGCTATAAAATACAAAAACCTTTGATTTCAGCAGCTAAACTACAATTTCTTGTATCTATACACCCTCTAGCTGCTTTCTGCTCACTTCCAGAAAAAAAGGCCAACAAACTGAAAGTAGACCTTGCAATTCAAATCACCGTTAAGTTCGTTCTGCAAAGCATGCACTTACAGATCTGAAAAGCAAAGTGGCAAAGCTCCCTTCATAAGGATGGCCTCACAGCTTTCCTGCACTGCTTGGGGAATTGTTTTGGGGAAGTTTTGGTGCTGTTAGTGAGGCTGGAAAAAAGAAAGAAAGAAAGAAAGAAAGAAAAAAAAAAACCACAATAAATGTGACTTGATCTTTCTTCAAAGACAAAAAGCAGTTACACAACTATTTCACTAGTAGCAAGAGATCATTCATTAGACTTCACACACACTCCAGAATGAGGTACAAAAGCCTAAGAATTGTGGCTTTACCGATGAGATTGGTAAAATTTTGCTAAACAAAACTAATGATGCAGAAATACAGAGCAATGAGAATTCATTCCCATAAAAGGGATCTTCAGGAAAAAGAATAATCTTTCCAATCCTCAGAATTTAGGAATTTTTGCCATTTTTCATCAGAGCACTGAAACAATCTCTGTTTTTAAAGCATACTAACAAGTCAAAATATTTCAGCTATAACTTAATGCCTGGCAATCATCAAGTGCAATCAAACCGCTACTAAGAATTCACCTTCTCTTATACACCAGTCACTTACAACCAAGCGGCAGGGGAGATTTCAGAACGGAATAAATGCATCCTTCAGGACTACCAATTAAAAACGTTTCCTACTGGTTTTAAGTTAATGAGTTACGCAGGGAAGACTGTTTCTGCTAATCTTACTTTTCACTGTACTGATTTGTAATTTTCCTCCCCTTTTCTACTGTGTATTCGGCAACCACTCCTTTCTCCAATTCCCTTTACCCACACCTCTTACTTTTCCATGCTGAAAGCATTCAGACACATAAAAACATCAAAAAAAAAACCCACCACAAAAGAAAAAAAAAAAGTTTTGTGCAAAGTAGGGGGAGACCGGGAAGCTGGTTTTGTGGAAGATACAACATAAGAGCTCTTTGAGAGAACCTAGCTGACCATAAAGGGATTTATCTTTGCACCCTAGGGGCCAATACCATCTTTCATAGCTGCCTAGATATCGGTCAAATTCTCCATTTCTCCTCTACCCACTATTTTTCAGGTTCTACCAAATTTGATGGCTACTGTCTGGGGTCGTGAAAGTCTCCGCTATACCTACAGTCCTTTAGTATATTTTTGCAGCAGCACAGCACACTAACCATGCACCAGGTACCGAAGTACATTTCCTTAAAGCTCGATACCTTAGGATGGATGTACTTTCGGACAGCAGTAAGAAATGCAGCACAATTATGAAGTGGTCCACACTTAAGCACAAGAAGACTAAAGAAAACCACATCTTAAAGTATTTAGGTAGCTCTCAAAATAATTTAATCTGACCCGTCCACTGTTTACTCTGCTGGATGAACAAACACAGCATCTTTTTTGGGCGTCCTGGCCTGTAACTTGTTCTAGTGCCTTCCTCTTCTGTAGCCAGAGCCTAAACAAAGCAGCACCACAGCAACATTAGTATGGTCCTTGGGGGTTCCACTGAAGCCTAAAGTCTTGCACATGGCAGAAGTGATTAATCTGAATAGCTTTACTGCAGGCAAAGAAGGCCACTCATAGGGAAGGCAAACAGCAACTAAAACAAACAGTGACGATACTGTGTCTTCTGCTCCAGTTCCTTCTTCACACGCATTTTATGTGGGAGTCAGTCGTCAATAAAAGCCTGATTCTGAAGAGCACAACCTGCTTACTTCGCATCCCAACCAACAGGACAGTTCTCCTCACAACTGAAGGAGGGATTTTTCAAGACCTTCTTGGTTAGGTAGCATATTTCAAGCAGAAGAAATCAGATGTGAGCGAGCCCAGACGTTGTGGTCGTTGACCAAACTGCTCAACGAGAGATGCTATAAATCACCTTTGTCTTTGCCAGTTCACCCTACAGTAATCCCGCAGTTTGCTGGGTTTTAATGAAGTCTTCTGAAAAGGAGGTGACAGAAAAACAAAAACCTAAAGTCTATGAATGAGGCTAAGATGTATGGCTTATGTATGTTCTCCGTACCACCTCAGGAACCTAACACACATTTTCTTTCACTCTTTATAATAACATATAATCACTAAACAACAGGTTACTGTTGTGCTGATCAAGTTACTAGTTTTGATCACTAAAGAGATGCTGGTTCACTAATCTCAAAACAGCTTATTTCAGATGAACTACTCGTCACCTTCAGTAGTCACCTTCACAGCCTTATCCTGAACTGGAACAACTGACTCATAGAGCAGAAAAAAAAACGCACCCTTGCTCAAACTGCCTTTCTCTAAAGTTATAGGAGATCCAAAAAAGCTTGATATAAAAATGCCATTCCTTCTTACCGTTCCAACCTTTTGCCTCAGAACAAAAACATCTGATACAGTGTGCTCTAAAAAAAATACAAAAGTGTTACATTATGGCACTGGACACCCTTAAGCAAATATATGCTTGTGGCAACTGATCTTGTTTTGAAGACCCAAACCCCCAAACTATCATATTTCCATCTACCACGTACCGGCCCTTTCATTAACACATACCCATTAAGTGGGGTAAGAAACCCATTAAGTGACCCAACTGATTAGTATTAAGCTTATTTGTCCTCTCTCCCCTCAGTCACAATATTTTGTTCCAGGCAAGACAGCAGGTAGGTATTAAGCTTCTTGAAGGTGCTTTTGCCAACGGGATGTGAATCCCACAAACACCTTTCTGTTAAGAAGTTGATGTCACTTCAGAGAGCTTCCATTTAACTTTTACAGAAAAATAAGCATTTATAGCGTAAATAAGCATTTATAGCATTTAAGTACTTCTTTGTCTAATTTACACAAGTGCAACAAAGCATGTCTGCAGTTCATTAATATAAAATTCCACAAGATCTGTTAGGGACTCCTTAATTTTGTCCATTTTTAACGCTTCTAATTACAGTCCCACACTAAACCACAATACTTGTGGCCAAATCTCCCTGAAGGTCCAAAAGCCTGTAAAATTTGTCACGAATTAACAAAACTTAAAGCTACAAAAACTATAAAGATCACTTTTCTGACCTTCTCCGTAATTCCAGTCATAGCATTTTAATAAATAATTACTGCACCAAGCCTACAAATTTGATGGTAGAACGACAGCATCAGTTTTAGAAATACATCCTATCATAGAGGGAAGGAGAAGCAGTGTGGGGGCAATTTTAAAAAAAACATCATTAGCTCTATTCTTGCTCTTACATTCGTACATCCCAAGTAAAAGTCAAAACTCAAACACAAGGACTGTTTTCTGGAATACACACAGAAATAATTTCTGTAATCCGATTAGCAAAGCACCATTAGAAGGGAGGGAGGCTGGGTCAAGCACGCCTTATATTTCTGTGTAAAAGGTTCAACTTTTCTCCACCTGTTAAATAACTACTACAGGTACACAACATATTTTCAAAAGTTTCTAGAAGTGAAAATTCAAATACTAATGCTGCTCTTCGCAGTGGGCAGATATTTCTTTAAAGGTTTTGTTTGCCGTCACCAGTGAGACTTCTGCTGCTTGCAGGACAGCTGTACTGGAACTATAAAATGAGAAGAACAAATTGAACTTTAAACACAAATATCAGTGGAATACAGAGCTTAAAAAAACCAAAAAAAAACCCCAAAAAAACCCCCCACTAATCAAGAATATGCACAACCCATACTTTACAGCTTAAGCACGTACTGCATATTAGTACCAAAATTACAGGTTTGACCATATCTTTTTCCAGTGGCCAAAAAGTGACTTTTATTACCACAAATAGAGAAACTATTATTTTCAAAAGCATAATTTTACACAAACTACCTGGTAATCTATGATGGATTATAGTGTTGAAAATTTTGTTCAATATGAAAGTGGTTTATGATTATTAATGAATTTTTCCCTCTTTTTTTTTATACTCTGTATACCTACCTAAAAAAAAAAAAAAAATCAATTTATAGTAATTCATTCAGTTACTACCATAATTAAAATGGGCAGCTGGGTTGGGTATGACACAAGTCAAGCTAAACCTAGCACGATTTAATAGCCTGAGTAGCTACTAGCTTCGTATAATTATCACTTTATGGAAGGGATGTTAAGATTACTGTTACACATATTTAAGATTCTCTCCCAATTTCACTCTCAGACATAAATAAAACTGGCCAAAGTCATGTTTCAAAAAGAACAACTCAACTACCTTTGAAGCTTCAGAAAGATGTTTAGATGTTAGTTAAAAGGTCTGCATTTTTTTAATATTGGTATATTTTGCTATATTTGAAAGGTTATACAATTATTTTGGCATCTGTACTCTTCCCACAATTGGGCATTATGCATAGTTTTTACAACAGAGCTATTTGTCTCTGCTTTAAATGTTTACAACAGCTAGAAATCTATCTGCAGCATAAAAAATGCATATTGTACAGAAGGCCAAATCGGTTTTGTATGTACAATTAATTTTATATTATACTACACATGATTTATATCACCTGTCTCCAGGGTCTACTGCAAATTAAATCATCCTCACTGAAGCATGCAATTACTCTAAGGTCCAATAGGCTTTGCACTCTGAAGAATACACTTCGAAGAAATATCATTATCATCTCTAACCATCCTATTTGACAACAGTTCATCAGCCACCAAACAGGATTTCTTACTTCTAATATCTTCTGTCAGTCATCAGCCTGTTCAAAACTCCTTGGAATCTTCCTATTCATCTGATAAAACCACTGGAAGCACCAGAGCCATTTAAATTTAGTATTAATTTGCTATAAATACTTTTCTACTGAATTTATCACAAAATACTAAGCAGTAGATGCTGTGCTAGTGAAAACATCAGCACAGGACTGGAAGAGAAGGAGCCGATGGTTGCTTCAGCCAGGTGAGAGTGCTGAGCAGGGTCCAACACCCCCGGGGCTGTACGTGGGCTTCTTCTGGTGAGGCAGCAACGTGAAAAGAGAAAACAGCTCAGGGAGAGAGCAGAGCGAGGCCTTCCCGAGCTCCTGGCAATCTAAGGGGCAATGATGATGTTTAAGTCACCCCAACTGAAGCAACTTCAACGGTTTTTACTTGGGAATTGACAAAACAGGGGGTTACACAAGCCAGCGGGCCTGCGTTAGGAAACTGGACCCAACCACCCAGGAGCTTCTTTCCACTCCCCTGCACTCAAAAAGTGCTCAGTGCGGGAAATATTAGCGATCTACTTACTTCTACAAATACCTCAAATGATTATAACTGCAGCCCAGGACGTTATCCCTCACAACACGCAGCGAAAGAAAACAGATTACGGCCTCACGAACTCACTACACTCAGCACAAAAGATTAAAAAAAAGATAAAACAGCATTTGGCATGAAAGCATACAAGACAAAACCCGATGTCAATTAAGATGAGAGAGAAATTATCTTTTAAGCTAAAATATTTCCCGCTCTTGCTAAGTCTTAGCCTTCAGAAGTATGAAAACAAACTGGCAAGAGTGAGACTAAGCAGACCCGTTATATTGCAAAAGCAGCCACCGAGCACTGCAAAAAGCAAGTGGTTTGCAAAAGCAGAGGGGAAAGCACGCTATTTTATAGGGGTTTTCACTCCTAAGAAGCGTCAGGAAGAGTACAAGGTGAGAAATGCGGGTAGGAGCCTCCCTCAGGCTGGTCTGGAGCGCGGACAGAGGGGCAGCAGGCACCGGAGGATCCCTGGAGACCCTGACAGGGCACCCGGAGGGGCACGGCCGGCCCCGCGCCCCCCAGCCCGGACGG